CTTATCCTCCTCCTCCTCCTCCTCCTCCTCCGCATCCGCATCCTCTCCTCCTCCTCCTCCTCCTCCTCCTCCTCCTCCTCCTCCCTCCCTCCCCTCCCTCCCTCCCTCCCTTCCTCCCTCCCCTCCTCCTCCTTCTCCTCTTCCTCCTGCCCCTCCTCCTCCTCCTCCCTCCTCCTCCCTCCTCCTCCTCCTCCTCCTCCCTCCTCCTCCTCCTCCTCCTCCTCCTCCTCCTCCCTCCTCCTCCCTCCTCCCTCCTCCCTCCTCCCTCCTCCCTCCTCCCTCCTCCCTCCTCCCTCCCCCCTCCTTCCTCTGTCCTCAGTCCTCCCTCCTCGCTGCTCCCTGCTCCCTCCTCCCCCCCACCCTCGATGGGTATTTACAGTGTGCTGGCGTATGGCGTGTTGGTTGCGTGACGCCTATATCCACGGATGCTTATCGGCACTGTCATTTATCTGTGTGCACTGGGAGGGTCGTGGGGCTTCGGCGTCTTTCTTGCTGTGGTCTGGCCGTTCGTCATCGTTGTGCTGGTCCAGTGGTGGTGTGCGGCATCATGCGTTCATCGTTCATGCGTTCTGCGTTATGCTCGAGGTGGACCTCGCAGCACGTTCACTCGTGTATGGCGTTGACGAGGGCGCGCTGCAGTATTTGCGCTTCGAGGTTTTCTGGATTCAGTCAAGGTCTTCGTAGTGCTCATGCTGGCCACGCCAGCTTTGAGTTGATTGCATCGTTGATGGCAAACCAAGTCCTCCTCCGCCTCTTCCTCCTCTTCACCCTCCTCCTCCCCCTCCTCCTCCTCCTCATCCTCCTCTTCCTCCTCCTCCTCCTCCTCCTCCTCCTCTTCCACATCCTCCTCCTCGAGGGTGGGGCCTGGCACCTGTTCTCATGGTGTCCAGCGCCACACCTTCCTCGGGGCAGACCGTTCAGGGCGATGCATTTCATCTGCGGTCAGGGTGAGCGGCTACCGGTCGTTTTTTTCCACAGAGGAGGGTGGACGCTGTGAAACCTGTATCGGCGGGATGTCGCAAGGCTGCCGTCGTTGGGTGTAGCACGGCCCTCAGCTCTTTGTGCGGATGCAGCGGGCACTGGGCCTGGGGGTGGACGTTGCGAAACCTGTATCGGCGGGGCTTGCGCTGCGCGCGGCCTCGTCGTTGGGTGTAGCACGGCCTTCGGTCTCATCATTGCCCTGCTGGCGGCGGCGTTAGCCAGGCGCCTGGGTGGCTATTCCCATGTGGTCTGGCCCTCAGGGATTTGCGTTTTCCGTGAGAGGTGGTGGCATGTGCCACGTAAATCCGATCGGGCTTTGTGTCCACTCACGGCTGGGGCCTTTGGGCAGGCCCCAGTGCGCAATGCCTATCGTGCCGACAGGGTGGCCTCGTGCCCCCAATGCACCATGTCGGTTCGGTTGGGCCGCGAGTCGTCCGACGCCAAGGGGCAGCTCTTGTACCCTGTACCGCTTTTCCGCATTTGCGGAGGTCGAGCAGTGTCTGTGTGCAGTCGCTGACTCACTTTCAGCCTGCCAGCCTCTTCCACATCCTCCACCTCCACCTGCTCCTCCTCATCCTCCTGCTCCCCCTCCTTTCTGCTCCTCCTTGCCCCCCCCTCCTCCTCCCTCATTCCTCCTCCTCCTCCTCCTCCTCCTCCTCTTCCTCCTCCTCCTCCTCTTCCTCCTCCTCCTCCTCCTCTTCCACCTTCTCCTCCTCCTCCTCCTGCTGCTCCTCCTCCTCCTCCTCCTGCTCCTCCTCCTTTCTGCTCCTCCTTGCCCCCCCTCCTCCTCCTCCTCCCTCCTCCTCCTTCCTCCCCTCCTCCTCCTCCTCCTCCTCCTCCTCCTCCTCATCCTCCTCCCCTCCTCCTGCTCCTCCTCCCCCCCCCCTCCTCCTCCCTCATTCCTCCTCCTCCTCCTCCTCTCCTCCCTCCTCCTCCTCCCTCCTCCTCCTCCTCCTCCTCCTCCTCCTCCTCCTCCTCCTCTTCCACCTCTCCTCCTCCTCCTCCTGCTTCCTCCTCCTCCTCCTCCTCCTGCTCCTCCTCCTTTCTGCTCCTCCTTGCCCCCCTCTCCTCCTCCTCCTCCTTCCCTCCTCCTCCCCTCCTCCTCCTCCTTCCTCCTCCTCCTCCTCCTCCTCCTCCTCCTCCTCCCTCCCCCTCTTCCTCCTCCTCCTCCTCCTCCTCCTCCTCCTCCTCCTCCCTCCTCCTCCTCCGCCTCCTCCTCCTCCTCCTCCTCCGCCCCTCCTCTTGCTCCTCCTCCTCCTCCTCCCCCTCCTCCTCCACCTCCTCCTCCTCCTCCTCCTCCTCCGCCTCATCCCTTTCCCCTTCTCCTTCCTGCTCCTCCTCCTCCTCATCCTCCTCCTCCTCCTCCTCCTCCTCCCTCCCTCCTCCCTCCCTCCCTCCCTCCCTCCCTCCCTCCCTCCTCCCCCCTCCTCCCTCCTCCCTGCTCCCTCCTCCCCCCTCCCTTCTCCCCTTTCTGGTTCCTCCTTCCTCCTCCCTCTTCCCTGCTTCTTCCCTCCCTCCTCCCTCCTGCCTCCTTCCGCCTCCGTCCTCCTTCCTCCCCCCCCCCTCCCTCGTCCGTCCTCGTCTTCCTTTTTCCCAACCCTCCTTGGTTGGGTATTCGTGTTGTATCGAGCACTGTGGTCGCGTCCCTCCTCCTCCTCCTCCTCCTCCTCCCTCCTCCTCCTCCTCCTCCTCCTCCTCCTCCTCCTCCCGCCTCCCGCCTCCTCTCGCCTCCTGCCCTCTCTTCGCCGTCGCTGGGGGGCTGCGATCAACGAACCTGTCGCCACTTTCGAGGGCTGCTGGTGGGTCCTGCGGACTGAAGCACCGCGGGGATCTGAGCGGGACCTCGCCGTCCCTGGGGGGCTGCGACCTGCGACACTGTCACCACTTTTGAGGGCTGCTGGTGGGTCCTGCGGGGTGAGGCACCGCGGGGACCTGAGCGGGACCTCGCCGTGCCTGGGGGGCTGCGATCTGCGAAACTGTCGCTACTTTCGAGGGCTGCTGGTGGGTCCTGCGGGGTGAGGCACCACGGGGATCTGAGCGGGACCTCGCCGTCCCTGGGTGTTTGCGATCAGCGAAACGGTCGCCACTTTCGAGGGCTGCTGGTGGGTCCTGCGGGGTGAGGCACCGCTGGGATCTGAGCGGGACCTCGCCGTCCCTGGGGGGCTGCGATCTGCGACACAGTCGCCACTTTCGAGGGCTGCTGGTGGGTGCTGCGGAGTGAGGCACCGCGGGGATCTGAGCGGGACCGCGTCGTCCGTAGGGACTGCGATCTGCGACAATGTCGCCACTTTCGAGGGCTGCTGGTGGGTCCTGCGGGGTGAGGCACCACGGGGATCTGAGCGGGACCTCGCTGTCCCTGGGGGGCTGCGATCTGCGACGCGGTCGCCACTTTCCAGGGCTGCTGGTGGGTCCTGCGGAGTGAGGCACCGCGGGGATCTGAGCGGGACATCGCCGTCCCTGGGTGGCTGCGATCTGCGACACTGTCGCCACTTTCGAGGGCTGCTGGTGAGTCCTGTGGAGTGAGGCACCGCGGGGATCTGAACGGGACCTCGCCGTCCCTGGGGGGGCTCTGGAGAGCTGCTGCGGGATACGGTAGGCGCAACGGGCGCATGGCACAACCAAGGGGGGTGATTTGTGAAACAAACCATCTGTCGGGCGATGGCCTTAACGTTGCGCCTACACGTATCCCGCGGGGCTCTCAAGAGCTGCTGTGGGATACGTTGGGTGCAACGGGCGCATGACACAACCAACGGGGGTGATTCGTTATTCCGTAGCCCATAGATCTTGATCGGGGGCCTGCGAGCCTTCCGATTGCTGCTCGCAAAATCACATGCGTCCATGTTGCGTCATCGCCCCCGTTGTAGCAATCCTGATGTACTTCTGCCCCGCATTGCGCAAGGGTTGGGTACGTCGCCAGGGTAATTCTCCTCCTCCTCCTCCTCCTCCTCCTCCTCCTCCTCCACAATCACACATTATGAACACTACTCTCCTCTCTCCCCTAGCTCTGCCTGACAGGTTTTCGACCCTCTCCGCGTACATTTGTTTTAACGCAAGGGATTTCAAACTCTGGGTTTTCTCTTTTCTTGTGTTGCAATCCGATTTGTTTCGGTGCTTCAAAACTGTGTTTCCGCTGCAGGGTGGGCCTCATTTTGGGGTCTCTGCTTTGCTCTCGTCGTTCAGACTGGCGCTCTCGCCCCAGCGCGGGCCATGTTTCTGGATCCGAGTCCTTTTTCATCGATGCCCCCCCCTGATTTCCCCTTCTCCGCCTCCCCCCGGTCCTCCTGCTTCCTCCCCCTCCGTCCACTCCAGCTCCCGCTGCTGCTCTTCGTCCTCGCTCCTCCACGCCTCCCAAGCCTTCTGGGAGATGGCAACGGACACAACTCAAGCCCCCTCCAAGCGTCCGCTTTAACCTGCCCGCACACACCCACACACTTTTTTTGCGTCGGCGGCTAGGCAGACGGACTGCGCTGGCGGATCGGGAACCTGCCCACACACAACCACTCACCCCCAGCGCGGCGCGGCCCCCCGAGCAAAAACAACGCCGTACAACCCGGGAGGGCGAGGAGGGACGGGCGGAAACCGCAGGCGGCTCGGAGGTGCCGCCACCTCCGGGCAAGATCCCTCGCCGTGACCTCTGGAGGTCTGGGGTGACCTCCGAATAGCAGAGGGGCTCGTCGCACGGCGCGGCTCGAGGTCATGGTCCCGCAGGCTTCCATCGACGTGAGGAGCAGAGTTATCCTGGGTTCTGGGCCGCGGCCAGGACATTCTGGAGAGAGGCTGACAGAGAGAAGCAGCGTGTGGTGGCCAGCAGTCGGGATCCCGATCTGTAGCACGCCACACGTCTCCATTCTTCCTCATCCCTTCCTGGGTATGGAGCATCCTCGCAATGGTACTCTTGACATTTGGAAGCCCCGGGAGGCGCCAGAAGGGGTCCAAAGAGCTCACATGCGGGGGCCGAAACTCCAGGATGCTTAGCATAGCCCGTGCAACCCTGGAAGCCAACGACACATCATCTTGAAACCAATTTGAGTAATCCTGTTCCTCGCTTCCTCGTATTCATCCTCCTGCTCGTCCACCACCTCCGCCTCCAACGCACGCGTTATCCGATTGCGCATAACACGATGGGGCCCTCATTGTAGTCCCAAGTCCCATATGGCACGCGTAGGATATATACATTGTAGTCCAGTGTCCATTTTGGCTCAAGAAGGCCATTTTGGCTCAAGGAGGCCATTTTGGCTCAAGGGCGGCAGCGAGCTGATTGTAAGACTACACTGTGCCCTCACACTTCGTGCAGTGCCACCACTTGGCCACATATAGATTGCGTTCCGAACTCAGCGGGTGCTAAGCGATGACTCAATGGTCTTCCTGGTCGTCTCGTGGCTCTGCGCAGCCGCTGTCCACCTCCGAGTGGCGTCGCGACCCGTCGGGGAACTGGCGCTGGATTGGCCAGTCTCCAGCAGCGGGGCGCTCGACGGCAGCCAAGCAATGGGCGGGCCACCTGCGGGATGCGTCGCACGTGGGCGGAGGCGGCTGGCTCAGCCGTCGCACCGCCCCCGCCCGGCCCAGTGGCTGCTCCGCCGCCGGCTTCGGCCCCGCCGACCGTGGCTGGGCAGCAGAACTCGGCTCGTGCGCAGCTGCAGGCCATCACGGGCAGCCTCTCGAAGCTTCACGTGCAGCAGCAGCAGGCTGGAGCGGCCAGCCAGCCACCGCCGCCGCCTACCAGGCTGCGGCGCCCGCAGCTGGCGATACCTCGCAGCCCGCCAAGGCGCGGGGTCTGGCTCGTGTGAAGTACCTCGAGGCCGCGCTGGCGGCCCTTCCGGCGGACGATCCCCTGTTCGCCGAGGAAAAGGTGGGTCTGGGGCAGCGCTTTGCGGAGGCCAAGCGCGCCGTACATAGCGTCAGGCCCATCGGCGCCCGCATCGACTGCGCGCGTGCGGCCCTCGAGCGCTCTCGCAGCCGCCAGGCCGAGGCTGCCAAAGCCGTGGAGGCAGCCCAGAAACTCCCCCAGCTGGCTGCCGACGAGGTGGCTGCGCTCGAGGCGGAGCTGCAAGAGCTGCGACAGGCTGAGCGGGAGGCTACCGACGTGAGCTCGGCAGAGATGGAACCTGCTCCGCCTGCGACGCCTTCCGACCAGGCACGCGCAGCCCTGAACATGACGATCGCGAACCTCGCGACAGATTCGTGCGTGCACCCTGGCCGCGTCGAGGCGGCCCACGCCCACGTGAAGCAGCTCTTCGACGGCTTCCGCCTGGCGCTCCAGCAGGCCGAGGCCACGCGGGCTGCGGCAGCCGGAACCGCGACCCACCCTGCCGAGAGGCGTCACGTTGTGAAGTCTCCACCTGTTGCTCCGATGCCTGCGCAGGCCGGCGCCTTGGTGCGCCACCGGGGCAAACAGCCCCGGAAGGAGCTCATCACCGACTGGTTCACGAGGAAGAAGGTCATCCGCACCATTGGGAAGGATGACAAGTCTGCGAGTGCGGGGTTTACAGCAGCCCCAGCTCCAGCCTCCACACCGTGACTACTGACACGTTGCCCTCGGCTGGCTCGAGCGGCCGCCCCACCTCATCGGGATGGGCGACTTCCGCTTTGCGCCTTGCCATGGGCAACGTGTGCACGCTGCGCCCGCGCGAGGAGGCGGCCGCCGGCGTGCAGGTGAGCTGCCAACTGATGCTTGGCAAGGTCCAGATCCTCGAGCAGAGCTTCTTCGCAGAAGACCTCGACATAGTGTTCATTCAAGAGGGTCGTGCACGCGCCGCCGAGGTGCGCCGCGGCCTGCGCTACACCACGTATGTTGGAGCTTCCGACGAGGCCTGAGGCTTCGGGTGCCAGGTTTGGATTCGCGACTCTGACAAGTTTCGCGTCTCCTCCTATGCTGCGGTCTCTCCCAGGCTGTTCTGGGTGGCGGGCCTCGCCCGAGAGGGCATTCCTCTTATCTGGGTGGGCGCGCATGCGCCTCGAGAAAGAGCTGACCTTTGCGAGCGTGAGATGCTCTGGGACACCCTAGTCAAGCACGTCTTGGCGCTGAAATCCCTGACCCCGTCCGCCAAGATATTCCTCGGTATTGGCGCCAACGGTCGTGTTGGTGCACGCTCGTCTGGGGTCACTGGCTCCCGCGAGGCCGATGCCTTCACCGCCAACGGCGCGGCCTTCGCAGCAGCGCTCCATGCGTTGCGCGTGGCAGCCCTCGACGTCTTCTTCGATGTGGGGTGCGCATGGAGATCCGGCAAAGGGCACACCTCCCGCATCGACTATATTTGTGGCCCCCTGGACGACGTCAGCCGCGTGGCGTCTGTGAGCGTGCCCTCGAACGTCCAGCTCTCCCTCGCATCCTGGGAGGATCGCGGAATGGTCATGGCCGTCACCAGTGTCGCCTCTTGCGTTGAACGCTGTCGCACGGCCACGCCCGCTCTCCGCGTGGCTCCTGAACAGCCCCGAACACGTGCGTCGCTTCCGGCATGCCCTCCAGTCCCTGCAGGTCTCCGAGCGCGCCCCCATCGACGACAGGATGACCGCCTTCAACCAGCAGGTGCGCGATGCCGCAATGCGCGCATGTGTGCCTCCTGCCGACCAGCCTCGGCAGCCGTGGATCACGCCCGACGCGTGGCGCGTGCTCCGCGTGCTGGCGCCCTCCCGCAGGGTTGTCCACGCCGCGCGAGCGGCCGCCCGCACAGTGCACCCTCACATGGTCTTCCGGTGCTGGGCTGCCCTCCGCCCTGCGCCATTCCGGCCGCTTGCAGATGCTCAGCCGCGTCTCGGCTGGCACGCCCAGTGCGTACTGCCACAGCTCAGCCGGCTCTCCAAGCTATGGCATGGCACCAATGCCAGCAGCTCGCCTGCCTGGTGCGCCATTTCGTCCATCTCGGTCGCCAGCTGTATCCGGAGAGCCAGGCCGCCGATGGGGCAGGGTGCCGCGGCTGGGGCTGCGGCGCACCCCGTGCTGCTCAGGAGCAGGTTCCTCTCCTGCAGCGAGGCCGAGAGGCAGGCGAGGTGGCTGGAGCACTTCCGTGACGTCTTCCACGGCGCAGTTCTCTCCGCGGCCCAGCTGCAGGCCCTGCCCCCTTGCCGCGCCCCTGGAGGCGCCGAGAAGCCACGCGTCGGCAGGTGCCGTCGGCGCGGCGGTCCTGCGCCTGGGCCGCAGCAGAGGTGTCGGACGTGATAGCTCGCCTGCGGAGCTTCTCGCTGCAGGTGGGCCTCCGCTCCACGAGCTGCTGGCCGTCCTCTACCAGGATGTCGTGGGCCACGAGCGCTGGCCCTCGCAGGGGACTGGCGGTCGCATGCAAAGCGTCCACGAGCGCAGGGGCCCGCTCGAAGACTGCGACGAGTCCAGAGGCATCGTTCTCGAGGACCACGCCGCGAAGGCCCTCAAGCAGATGCTGGGCGACATGCTGAACGAGCCTTGCCACCAGAACATGCCAGAAGCGCAACACGGAGCCGTCGCGGGCAAGGGCACCGACTACGCCGCCCACCTAGTGCACTGCTTTGTGGCGTACTGCGCGGCGCGCCACCTCTCATGCTTTGTGTGGTTCTTCGATCTGGTGAAGGCGTTCGACCGGCTGGCCTCGACGATCCTGAGAGTTATCTGCAGTCCCTTGGCTTGAATAGGGAGCAAGCCGAGTGGATCGCGACATGGGTATCCAGGCACGGATGCTTGTTCGCTCAGTGGGGCGTTTGCCCCAAAGTCAGAAAGCTCCTCAAGAACATGCACGCGGCGTCATGGTTCTCCTACGGGGATTGGACACCGCCGTGTCCACGTTGATTGGCGGCCGCCAAGGCTGCAAGTTCGGGTCCATGGTCTTCAATAGCACCTTCTCGCTGGCCATGGTACTTATCCGGGACGCCCTCCTGGAGCATGGCGTCGTGCTGCGCCTTCGCCCTGCGAATGCCGCCTTCTGGGCCGACCGCGACGAGGCCGAGTCCGGAGTGAGCGTCGAGCCCGACGGCGTTCCGGTGGTCGACGCCACCTTCGTTGGCGATGAGTGCTTCCTTCTGCTCGGCCGCAGCGCCGCGGATCTCGACAAGGCCATCGAGACCATGATCCAAACCGTGTGCGAGATGTATGGCCGCCTCAACTTCACCATCACTTGGAAGGCCGGCAAATCCGAGTGCTTCTTGGTATACTGGGGCCCCTCCGCCACGAAGTGCCTCCAGCGTCGGCGCGTGCTCGCCAATGGCGGCCTGGCTGTCGCAGTCCGCGCCTTGGATGTGATGCTGCACGTGGTCACGCAGTACCGCCACCTTGGAGGCATCATCAGCGCGGACGGGAGCCTTGGAGCAGCCGCCCAGCATCTCCGCGCACAGGCAGCCACGCGTACGGGCCGATCGCGTGCAAGGTGTTCGGATCCTGTGTGATCGAGCGCGACATGAAATTCCGATTCATGCAGTCGCTCATCCTGAGCAGGTTGCTGTACAACGCCCACGTGGTCGTGCCCACGCGCCGTTTTCTGATCGTCCTGAACGGCGTCTACATGAGTGTTGCGCCGCGTGGATGGCTCGCCGCGGCATGGACCAACAGACCCAGACCATGCAGTCCGCTTCCGTCTCAAGCAACCCAGCGTCGATTGCTTGGTGATGCGCGGACCGCCTGCGCTATTTCGGCAGACTGGTGCGCTCGGCCCCCGCTGCTTTGACCGCCTTGCTGGCTGCTCGCCACAAGGGTGCTCTCCTTCCGTGGGTCGCCCTGCTGCTCGGCGACATGCGCAAGCTCCGGGAATTGGTCGCTCTGTGTGCCCCACTGGGCGACCCGGCGGCGGCGTCGAGTGAGTGGCGCGCCTTCGTATTGGAGTCTCCCGCCAGATGGAGCTCCGCCATCAGCATGCTGTACTTTGTAGATTCGTGCTGCGACCTCTCTGTCCCCAGCGCGACCGCAAGTGGCGACACTCGGCCGTTTCCGTGCCCTCGGTGCGAGTACAGTTTTTCATCGGCACGCGCTCGGGACCAGCATTTGCGCATCAAGCACGGGGTGCGGCGCTTACAACGTTGTTTCGCCCCTGCGGATGCCACGTGCTTGGCGTGCGGCACTCGTTTTGGAAGCCGGCTGCGCCCGCTCAGCCACCTCTGCGATTCGAGACGCACGCAATGTTGGGACCGCATTCGTCTCAACCCGGCTCTCTTTCCTCCCCTCCCGGCCTGTGAGGTGGAGGCCTTGGACAACGCTGGCAAGGAGCAGAGTCGAACTGCACAGCGCCTCGGCCACTCTCACGCCCTGGCTTGCGGCCCAGCTTACCGTGCAAACGGCTCGGTGGTTGGACGCGCACGCGTGTAGCCATCCACTTGTATTGTAATATATTTGAGACGCTTCGCGCACGCCTCGATGCATATCTCTATATATATATATATAGATATGTATATACATATATATATATATGTATATATATATATATATGTATATGTATATATATATATATATATAGCAGCGCAATAGGAAGGGATGGGTGTGAGGGATAGGATGTCAGACATGGCGCGAGCGCGCCTGACTTGTTCTCCTCCCCTCTCGCTCCCCTCCCCCTCTTTCTCCTCCACCCCCTTCTGCACCTCCTCGCCCTCCCCCACCGCCCTCTTCCTCCTCCTCCTCCACCAACTCCCGTCTCCCTTCCCTTTTCATGCTCCTCCCCCCCTCCCCTCCTCCAACATCTCTTTCCTCAAGAAAACTCCCCTTTGCGGCCACCCCAGACGTGTCAGAAACGCCCGGCCTGGCGCTTCGCTTGGCTTCCTTGCGGCTTACACTCCTGAAGCTCAACGGACTGCACCAGTTACAAGGGTTGAGGGCGGATGATTTTCAATATGGGGCTCTCGCTTCAGCGCCGCGCACATTCGTGTTAAACATTGCCAGCAGCTGCAAGGATGGAGGAGGATGAGGAGGAGGAGGGAGGAGGGAGGAGGAGGAGGAGGAGGAGGAGGAGGAGGATGAGGAGGAGGAGGAGGATCCTTTCCTGCTGACGCTGCTCCTCGTACTCCGTTTCCGTAGTGTGCTTTCGTTCTCGCACCGAGTCGGAGGTCTGGGGCCTCCGCCGTGGTGCTTTTTAAGGTCGGGCATGTCCCCCCACAGGCGGTTTCTTGGAGGAAAGACAAATCGCCAACAAATAATATAAAAAGATATTGGAAACTCAGCCCCAGACTATTTTTTCTGACTATCTGTTGATTTTCTGCCTGTCGAGGGACATGCCCGACTCCATGCTCTTCTCCACATCGTGGGCCCCTGGACGTCTGGACCTCTCCCACGGGACGAACTCCTCGCCCCGAGCCGTCTCCTGACGCCCCCACGGCCAGGCGAGGGCCCCCCCCCGAGGAGGCCGAAGGTTGGCCACCGCGCGCTCCGCCCTGCTGCTCTCCGCGGCGGGGCAAGAGCTCGACCCTGGGGCGGCAGGAGGCATCACAAAAAACTGCACACCCCGAGCTCCCCAAAAGAAGCGTCGGGGGGGGGGCGTCACCCCCGCCGACGGCCCCACGTCGGCCCCCGCCGCGGGCAGCCGCTGGGCGCCGAGGGCGCTCCGACCCCCGTCGCGGCGCGACGGCGAGGCGAGGTTGACCCCCGTCGGGGGGGCAAATCCCCCCCCCAAGGCTTCTTGAGACACCCGTCGGGTAGGCATCAGCTTTCGGAGGTCCGCATGGGCTTCTCGGATCGGCGCTGGACCCCGCCCAAGGTGGCGCGCGGAGCGCGCCGGTGGCGGCGCCCGAGGCGCCGTCAAGAGGGCACACCGCAGGTCCGAGAAATGTGGGCGGGCCTCAGAGCATTGATGCTTCTGTACAGGGCAATTTCTGATACATAGGATTTGTTTTAACTGTAGGTTTTCAATACATGCTTAATTTATCACTAGATTGATGCATGAACTTTTGATACTAACTCCCTGCATTTCTAATACATGATCCGCACGCGGAGCATGTATTAAGAACGGCACTGTAGTCTTCTGGTAGCAGGATCATCAACCCCCAACCAAGAAATGGCTGCCCATGTTGGGCACATGTTGGCAGCTCTCTGTCGCTATATTGTTGACGATGAGCCACGTCTACATCGAAGAGCGGTGCTCGGGGGCTTGGAAGGGACATGCCACTACTCGACACACACCTTGGCCCGATGTGTGGCCGCCGCGATCGCCGCGGCCACTTTCAAAACCGACCCAGAGGTTTGGTTCGGGGTCGAATTTCACGCAACGATCTTCTTCTTCCTCTTCTTCTGTTTCTTTTTCATCTTCTTCTTTTTTGTCTTGTTATTCGTCTTCTAACGATGACGGTCGCGGCGGTGACGACGAGACATCGGGGGCGGCGGCGCGGGGGCAGCAAAACCCCCCTGCGGCAGTCGCGCGAAAGCGCCTCGGCCGCGCGGCGACCCACCGGGCGGGCCGTCGTTTAGGTCACGTACGGTCAAAAACTTTTGGGTAGCGTGTTGCGACTGCGGCCGCCGCGAAACGCTATGCCCTGCAAGCAGAAAACGTGTCGCTCCGTTCCGCGGAGCGGGAAGCTCGGAAAGGCCCGGGACGTTGACACCTGGAGACCGGGATGTGGATCAAGTGTGGCGCCGAAGCGTGGTGGGCCAGAACAGGCGGAACGACACGCCAAGTCAATGCTCCCAAACGTAGCTTCGCGCATCTCGCCCCGCGGTGCGCGACGCGAGGCATCTTCGCGCCCTCGCGCCGCCCGGCTGGAGAATGGCAGCCGCTGTGGCCCAGACCGCGGCGCGCGAAACGCGGTGATCTGCGCGCCCCCGCGGGCGACCTCGTTTGGAGTACCATGTGGGACCTGTTCTGGCCAGGACAGGAGCATGCCGTAGACGGGTCTGCCATTTTCTCCGACCTTGCACTGCGCCGAACGCAACGGCCGCATGGTCTCTCAGATGCAGCCGCCCCGAACGTGTCCAGATGTGTAACGACATCCAACAAGTGTCTGCAGAAACGTGTGGCTAGAAAGTAAGAGCGGTGTTTGGCATAGGCTCCACACGTCGGCCTTCCAAAGGCAGGTCGATACTGCCCTCCAGACCCATGTAGACCCTGGCCGAGGCCGCGGCCGTCCGCGAGGGCACCGGGGGAGACGTCCGTCTTGAGGAGCCTGCCGCAGGAGCCCCTGGTGACGACGTCGGCGCCTGGCGCCGCAGGGAGTCACCCGCCCAGAACTTCAGCGTAGCGTGGGGGAGAACATCATCGTCGACATCATCATTATCATCGTCATCGTCATCACCATCATCATCATCATCCGCATCATCATCATCCTCTTCATCGTCATCGTTGTTCCCATCGCCACCAAGACCACCAACACCATCATCGCCATCACCATCGTCATCGTCATCATCATCACCATCGCCATTACCATCGCCACCATCATCACCGCCATCTTCATCCGCACCGCCACCCCACCACCACTAACATCATCATTATCATTACCACCTTCACCATCACTTCCATCATCACCGTCACTGTCGCCATCAGCATCATTATCATCATCACCATCATCTGTTCGGTTCCTCTGTGCCTGTAGTGCCTGGGGCATGTCGCTCCCGTCTCAGTCGCAGGTGCTGTGGCACGCGGCGGGGTGCAGCAACACTCGCCGCAGTGCACTGCGAGGTCCATGCTGGTGCTGCATACTCGCGTAGTCGACTCCCCGCCTGTGCCCACGTAGACGTTGATTGTCCTTCGGCGCCCACACGAGGCCCCCAGGAGGCCCCCCAAGAAGGCCCCAAAAGGTCCCAACAAGGGGGCCACAAGGATGCGCCAAGAGGCCCCCAAGAGGCCCGAAGAGACCCCAAAGAGGCCCACGGCCCAAGAGGCCCCAAAACAGCTCCTAACAGGACTCCGCACGGCCTCCAAGAGGCCCCCCGCGACAACCCTAACACCATCCAAGGGGCTCATGACTCACAATACAGGCACGGTGGCGGGATGGGCCGAATGCCATCAGGTATGTATAGATCCATCCATACATACAGTGACACAGCAACTCTGCCTTTGCACAGTGCTGGTTGGCCACGTACTTGCCCCAACACAGCGTTTCGTAACAGTGCTTTATTGACACCACTTCATTCCCTCAGCGAACTTGTTTGGCGAATCGCAGCAACCAGTTCTGCAGTCCAGATACAGCGGGCCCGTATTTGCATTCGTGGCACTGGGCTCACTGTTGACATCAGAAGGCGGCGACGATGCCGGTGTTCTGGGTATCGAACCTACAACCTGAAGCATCGCCACGATGGGTAAAGAATTTGTGCGTTCGGAGTCCGTTCGGGCATCTCCGTCTACCATGAGCGCAACCTCGCAGAAAGCCGTATGGACGGCGCCTCGGGTAAACTCAACGGAGGTTCGAAACTGAAACTGCGCGTGGGGGTCAGAGAGCAACGTGTCTCGGAGAGCATGATCATCCATCTGGATGTCCATGAAGAAGTCCTGCCCAGGGCGCAGCACACTTCTGAAACACGAGTCTGGTACGCACGCCTTAGCGCCATCGCCAGAAACATCCAATACGTCCATGCTGTCGACGTAAAGCTTCATCGCGAAAAGGCTGTAGTCGTGCCTGAGGTCTGCGAACACGCCCGCGTTTGCCGCAGCATCGTGGGGCGTACCCAAGCCCTGCAAGGACGCGGACGCCGAGTTCCTCCTGGAACCGCTGCGCCTTGATCTTCTGCTGCGCCTTCGCCACAGAGTTTGTACACAGGCGCCCGCCACTGGACCCTTCATGGGCCTCAGGGGAGCGTGCCGGAGTAGAAGCCACCACTGAGAGCCAACGATTTAATGCACCGCCGCCCTTCCCGAAGGCACAGGAAACACTAAGACACTGGCGGGCGTCTGTTCGCATATTCGTGTGGCACGTGCCCGCAGCCGATCCGGTCGAGCAGGTGGCCAATCGCGACCGGCAGCTCGCAGTCGACAGTGTCCCTGGAGTCTACGAGCTCCTTCGGGCCAACCGGGTGGCGCACGGCTGCCGAGGGGCCGTGCACAGGTACGTGGTACACTTCAGCTTTGACGACGTTGTTGAGGTTGTCGCAGAGGCATATGCGCAGCACGTTCGCCATCTCCTCGCGGGGGGCGTCGGCTATGCAACTCACCGATCCCAGCCGGGCCGATCCTGGGCCCAGGGTCGGTGTAGATGCCTCCCTGGCCACGCTAAACGGCGTATGCACCAATCCTGGACTTGGAGGAGGAGGAGGAGGAGGAGGAGGAGGAGGAGGAGGAGGAGGAGGAGGAGGAGAGGAGGAGGAGGAGGAGGGGCCTGGCCATGATCGGTGAGGTGAGTAACTGACGTCCTGCGGTCCTGATGATCTGGGACTGGAGCCGCGATGCGTTCCCTCAGGCGCTCCCGGTCCTGCTGCAGCACGAACGACTCGATCGAGACGCCGCGCAGGCACCTGTGTGAGCCGAGATGCAGCATGCCTGACAGATGCGTTGCCTCGCCAATGATGGGAAGATTGCCGTCAAGCTCAAGAGTGGCATCGCAGATGGTATTCAACAGCCTCCGTGAGGCCGTGGCTTCACTCTGCGTCGTGGCCTTCTCGATCTCTGAGACGATCTGCCTGCGAACGAACCTTTCCCAGGCCGCACTCCAAGCTACCTGGAAAACTGCAATGCTTATCTCAATGCTCACATACAGCTTGATGGATTCTGGAACGGGCTGCCGGAAACACACATGCGTCTCGAGCACTGCGACGATCTGCAGAAGGCTGTGCAGCACTGTGCAGCAAGAGGCAACACAACTTCTGAATATTATCATGTTGATGACGAAGCGCGGTATGTAGAACAAGACAAACAAACATAAGCATACACGCTTGGAGGTTAGCACGGATCTTGTGGGTCGACGTCGGACCCCTCTCCCTGTCCCGCGGAGTTCGCCAAGGGCGGCGCCCGAGGCGCCGCCAGGGAGGTCCTGTGCCAATCCACGATATCCGAGCAGACCTTCGAGAGCTTATGCTCGTGCCGATCTCTCTTCTTCGAGCATCGTCATCACGACCTGCACGCAGTGGAGCTGGCTCCAGCTGTCTGCAGCCAGGACGATGATCGGGGGGACGTAGACAGGCGGGGGAGGGACCGAGGCGGGGTGGGAGGAACATCGCTCCCAATGGGTTCTGGAAGGACATGTGAGCATCCAGATGAGCTCGTTTTCGAACCCCAGTCTGAACTGGCTGGGCCCCGAGAAATCAGTCAGGACGGGGGGATCCTGGTGAATCCGCTCACTGGACACCCTCCTGGGGTCCGTCTGGTGCAATTCTTCACCCCTGATCCGTTTTTGGCGCTCCTGGGGCCTGAAAACGGCCCCTGGAGACAGGGAACAACAACAAAAAAACGTTCTCGAACACAAAGCCTCGAGCCTCCCCCCCCTCTCCCTGCTGGCCATAGCCAGTGCCGAGCCAAGCCCGCCCCCCAGACGGCTCCAGCCCCCCCCCCCCCTCTACGTGCCCCCGGGATGAGCGGCAGGATGGCCACGTGGACGGCACACCAACACGCGGCCTCTGAGCCCTGCCTGGGTAGCAGCCCAGAGCGGCGCACGAGGCGCGTCCGGGCAAAAGACGCGGAAGAGCAGCCGACCCAAACGCACAACGTCCATGGACATGCTGTTGAGGCGGGCATTGCCTGTTGTATTGGGGGGCCAGTCGAGAGACAGCGGCGGCCCTACCCCTGGCGCTCGTCGTCCTCTCGGATCCTCCTTGGGGCTTCTCGTCGCTACGGCTGGATCCGCCCCGAGCAGCGGGTCAGGATGACCCCGGGAGGGGTCCAGGGACTAAACTTGAGCGGACTTGGGCCAGGCAGGAACGCCGCCGTTGTCTCAACTGGCCCTCCTCCGAGGAAGAGCAGCGCTTTTTGGGTGCTCGACTTTGCCCGACGGGGCCGTCAGAAAAATGACGGGCCTAATCTGAAATTTGGCGCGAGCTCCCGCTGCAAGCATCTCGCGAAAACTGGGCCGTCAAGATGCACGCCTGGGCCGTCAGGAAACGGCGGCAGAAGCCCAAGCTTCGGCAGACTCGAGCCTTACGTTTCCCCGAGTGTTGCCAGAGTTGACCCTGGCCCAAGGTCACCCCAGCTTTTTCAGCAAGGAGGCCCAGCCGGCTCCTCCTCCTCCTCCTCCTCTTCCTCCTCCTCCTCCTCCTCCTCTTCCTCCTCCTCCTCCCCACCGAGCACCCCTCCCGCCACAATGGCGCGAGAAGCTGGGGACACCTGGGAGCAAGACTACCGCTGGCAGCCGCCGAGCCTGCGAGGGTGTTGAACACAGACCCCATCGAGCAGAGAGCCCAGAACAGCTGCATGAACGTAATCGCGAACTGCACGTGCCGCGAGCACCACTCGCCTACCGTCTGCCCTTCCAGCTGGCTGCGCGCACCGTCGTCGGCCGTCTTCGGAAGGAGCTCGCGCCAACGGCAAAGCGTCGCCCGAGCACCAACCGAGATGAGCAAGCAATCTACAACCTGGGGGAACACACAAAAAACGATACCGCTACTCCCCATATCTCTCCCGGGGGATTCTGACGGGGATTCGGAGGCGAAGCCAGCCGTGGCGACGAGGCCCCCCTGGAAGCCCCAACACGCTAACAAAACGGGGGGGGTGGAACAGCACATAACATACACATTAATTTTCTGAGGTCAGCGGACAATTTAGGTTTATGCCATTGTTTGTTCCCCGATGGGAGGGGCATCGGCATCATTCCCTCATTTGGCTGCCAGACATGTGGTGGAGCAGACAATCACAACCCACTCCGAGAGTGAGTACGAGCAGCAAGCCATCTGCAGGACCTTCAGGTCAACTTTCCGAGCTACATCGGCGACGCTTCCAAGACACCCCTCGCCGTGATCTTGAAAGGCCGATGCTGGTCTGAACAAGCACGGCTGCGAGAAGTAAAGCTGTCACGTTTTTGCTCCGCCCTCTTCTGCCATGACTGAATCAAGCTCTGATGGAACAATGTCCTGATGTTCTTTGCCTTTTGCGGGCTCCTTGGGCCGTTCCGTGGCCCCAGGACAATCGGAACACGACCCAAGATGAGAAGCTGCTCTGGGCGAGAAACCCAGAATCCAAGCACTGCTGCCCCCCGGGTCCTTTTCCGCCACGGCACGCTACTGCTACGCTTCATTTTACGTCCACGGGCGGGCAGCGGCAGGAGGAGGATGAGGATGAGTAGGAGGAGAAGGAGGAGGAGGAGAAGGAGGAGGAAAACGAGGAGGAGGAGGAGGAAGAGGAAGAGGAGGTGGAGAAGTACGAGGAGGAGGAGGATGAGGAGGAGGAAAAGGAGGAGGAGGACACGGAGGAGGAAACGGAGGGATGGAGGGTGGCCTGTCTTCAAGCTGCGGCTCCTCTTTAAAGGCTCCCAGCAGTTGCACGGCTGGCGGGCAGCCCGTTCTCGAGCGTGGCTAAGGCCTTGGCGCCGCGCGCCTTCGCCGACGGGGCGTTCACGGCTGCACGGACGGACGGCGGCCCAGTGTCAGAGCGCCGCGCGCGTCTGTCTCGACCGTTTCGGGCATCTGTGCGGAGGCTGAGTAGGAGGCTGAGTAGGAGGAAGAGGAGGAGGAGGAGGAGGAAGAGGAGGAGGAGGAGGAGGAGGAGGAGGAGGAGGAGGGGGAGGAGGGAGGAAAAAGGAGGAGGAGGAGGAAGAGGAGGAGGAGGAGGAGGGATGCAGCTTGAGTGAGCTCCTGGCCCCGGAACAGTGCGGGAGAGAGCAAGTACTGCTGATGCCCCCCGCCGGTGTGCTGCATTGGTGGAAGTGCTCCTCTCGGCCCCCACCCCCCAGGTCTTTACCAGGGAACGCCCTCCTGCTCAAACTGCGCGGTGGGGCCTCCTCCTCCTCCTCCTCCTCCTCCTCCTCCTCCTCCTCCCCCTCCTCCCCAATGGGGGCCCCAGGGGGACCCCAGAGAGACCCCTGGGGCCCAAGGCAGCCTCGAGGGAGGGCCCAGGCGGCCCAAGCAGACAAGTTATGCAGGAATCGCGCGCTCGCATGGGAATCCCTTGCGCTCTACTTCGGAGTCGAGCTCTCGCCCGGACTTCCGCAGCACTTGCTTAGGAATCGCGCCCTTGCTGGTCAGGAATCGTACCCTCGCTTGGGACTTCGTCGCAATTCAATCAAGGATCGCGCTCTCGCTCGAGACCTCCTTGCAGTCACCGCTCTGGAATCGTGCTCTCGGCCAGAAGTTCGTCGCAATGTGCTTGGGAGTCGTGCTCTCTCCTGGGACTTCCCCGCAAATGATAGAAACATATCCAGACTGAATTTCCGCTTGCCCGACCCGCCCGGTAAGGCCCGCCCGCCCGGCCCGCCTGTGCCCAGCCCGCCCGTGAGGGTCCACCCGTCCGACCCGCCTGTCAGGGCCCGCCCGCCGGGCCCGCCCGTGCCTGGCCCGCCGGTGACCGTCCACCCGCCCGACCCGCCGGCCAGGGTCCGCTGGGTCGACTGCTTGGAAAGTCACCCGCCCGGTTCAGTGTCCCGCCTGCCCGGCGCGCACGCTAGGACTCGCCCGCGCCCGACCGGCCCGTTCGTGCCCACCCGCCAGACCCTGATGCACGTTGAACGAGTCGAGGGTCTGGGGTATAACTACTGTGGACTGGCACGCGAGCAGTGGAAAACGCACGAACTTGAAACGATTGTTGAACCCTCGTTTCTGAAGCACTTATTCTTCATCCCCCCTCTCAGTTGTGTCCATGCCGCTTTCCAAATTTGAAGTGCGTTCCCCAAGGCTCACACTGTTTTGTCAGGTAGCGTGTTCGTGCTCACGCTGCGTTCTTGGGCCCCCGATCCACAAAACCAACGGCTCCCGTCTTACATTTCCCCACGATTAATTCAGACACCGCACTCTCGCTCGAGACTTCCTTGCAATCTTCTCAAGAATCGCGCTCTCGTCGATGATTTCGCCAGAATGACTCAGGCGCTCCGCTCTCGACGCCCACGAACCGCGCTCTCGCATGAGACTAGGGTCCACCCGCCCGACACGCTCGTCAGGGTCCGCCTGCCAATCTTCCTGCTCCTCTACCCCCTCTCTCCTGCAAATTCTTTCTCGTCCTCAATCCCCCTGCCTCTTGCGCTTCTCCCTGCTCGTTCCGTCTTCCCTCCCTCGCTCGCTCACTTTTTCAGGCTTCCTTCCTCTCCCTATCTCAGGGGCCGCGTACACTGCACGTGGCAGGCAAGGACGCCCTCCCCCCAAATGGGAGTTACGATCGAAGGCAAGCGGTCGGACTGGCCATGGGCGGGGGGGGGGGAAGCCGCGACCTTGCATCGGCGATCACCTGGCCGCTGGAGCGGCGACGGGCCCCTGACAGCGAAACCGCACGCTCCTGGGGCGGGGCGGTCAATCGGGCCCCCTACTGGCGAGCAGTCGGCGACTGGCGGTCGATGCGCCCCCCCCCCCCCCCCTGAGCCTGGCCCTCCCCGATGCCGCACGATACAACAGTTGACGACCTCAAACCTGTGATGTATAGCTTGTTCTGCAGGCGCTCCGTGGTGAGCTTTCGCCGGCCTCGCCCGCTCGTCAGACGGCCTGAGCAAGAATAGCTGTGGCACGGCCCTCCCTCCTGCCAGCACGCGCGCGCAGGAACGCAGTGCGGGTCGCACAACGTCGGCGACTCCAGGCTACGGGAGGCGTTCAACCTTGCACCCCCGCGCTGGGGTCGCCACGGCGGCTCCCGCCTGGTACTTCCTCACGAATCAACCCACGTCGCGCGGGACGTCCTCACAACGTATGCAGGAAGGTCTTCCTGCATACATGTCTGTCGATTCTTTTATAAGGGAAGGTCTTCCTGCTCAAACTGGGTTGTTGGGCCCCGAACTACAACAACAACGATTCTCGTCTGATACTTCCTCGCGATGTACTCCGCAATCGAGCTCTCGTCGCGCGGCACGTCCTCACAACGCATGAGGGAACCGCACTCTCGCGTTGGACTTCCCTGCAATCGATTCAGACGCCGCGCCCTCGCCACTCAGGAAGCACGCTCTTGCATTGGCTTTTCTCGCGATGCACGCACCGGTCGGAAGAAGTGGGCACAAACATGAGGTAGGAAGGCGTCGGAAGTAGGTGGAGCTTCCGCCCGCCCTCGGACCGCCCCGCTCAACCCTTGAAGCAGGAAGGCGCCTAAAGTAGATTGGGGGCTGGGCATCCAACAGTACCTACTTCCAAAGACCAGCGTGCACGTGGGAACCGCGGTATCGCTCGAGACCTCCTCGCGATTCATGCAGGACGCACGCTTCAGCAACCCGCCTGCTCGACCTCGTCGCCTGGGCCCGCCTTCCGGACCTGCCCGCTATGGGTCTGCCCGCGCCAATCTGCCCGGCCGGTGCTGTCACGTGCTTTCTGCTCCGAGCCCCCCTCCTGCATTTTTTTCTGGTGCTCCATCCTTCTCCCTCGCCCTTCCATCCGTCCCCTCTTCCCCAGTGTCAGGGGCTGCGCTTAATGCGCGTGGCAGGCAAGGTAGATCTACCCCCAAGGGGGTACGATCGATGACAGAGAAGGCGGGCACCGAAGGTTCGGGATATACGTGGTGAGTGGAAAGCGAGCAGATAGGAGCGAACAATCTTAAAATTCTGGTTGCTGTTGTATTTGTGCTTGTTGTTGCTGTTATTGCTGTTACTGTTGCTGCTGTTGCTGTTGAACTCTCACTTCTAAAGAATAATTATTGTTGATCCCCCCGTCCGGTGCACATTGTTTCACATTGTTTTTTTCGATTGAAGTGCCCTTACCGGGGCTCGCACCCTGTTTTTTATCCGGGGAAATCTTGAAGGTCAAACTGTGTTGCCGGCCCCCAGATTACAACAACAACGGTTCCCGCCTGATACTTCCTTACAATTTCTTGAAGAATTGTACTCTCGCTTTGGAATTCCTTGCAATTTACCACCGGATCGCGGCTCCCGCTTGATACTTCCTCACAATTTCTTGAAGAATTGCGCTCTCGCGTGGGACTTCCTCGCAACTTACCACCGAATCGCGGCTCCCGCCTGGTATTTCCTCACAATTTATTCAGATGCCGCTCCTCGACACTCAGGAATCGCACTCCCGCTACATATTGCCTGGCGGTTCAAACAGAATTTACACTTCAACGACCCGCCCGCTCGACCCGCCCGTCTGGGCCTGCCCGCCCGACCAGCCCGTTAGGGACTGGAGTCGCCGCTCGCTGCCCTTCGCCCGCCTTCAATGCCCCCCGCTGCCCGTACTGGTTCCGCGGTCGCCTTCGCTCGCTGCCCTTCGTGGCCCCGTTGCTGCCTTCAGTGACCCCGTCGCTCCCGCTCGTTCGCGCCCGTCGTGGCCCGCGCAAACAACGGCTCCCGCCTGATGCTTCCTTACAATTTATTGAAGAATCGCGCTCTCGCTTAGGACTTCTTTGCAATTTACAAACGGATCGCTGCTCCCGCCTGGTACTTCCTCACAGATTATTGGAGAATCGTGCTCTCGTTTTGGACTTCCTCGCAACCATGCGCATGCCCTTCGTGGCCCCTTTGTCGCCCTTTGTGGCCCCATATGCGAATGCCCTACGTGGCCCCCGTTCGCTCGCGCCCGTCGTGGCCCCAAATGCATGCCCTTCTTGGCCCCGGTGTCGCCCTTTGTGGCCCCCTCGCTGCCCTTCGCGGCCACGGTGCTGCCCTCAGCGG